AAATTATTCAGTAACACAGATATAATTAATCTTATTATAACATATATTGGATTAAATAAATATACAATTCAATCGATAATTAAATCCTTACTGGACCAATAGGTATAACAATCAAATTGGAAGATTATGTGCCCAATAAATTACATGTTAAGGCAAAGCATGGCACTTGACCTGTTACAGTGCCAATAATAAGATGGTTTACCCTACCATAATTTGAACAACGAAGGAAATTGAAAGTCATCGAGATCGATGAGGTCGTTGCTATGACAAACACAATAAATATCCTCTCTTAGCTCGACCTGTAGAATAGGCGCAAGTGTGCGCCGCGTTATGTCACACACGTTCCGCAAACCATATCCTCTAACGCGCATTACGAGCGAATAGAACTACTATATAGCCGGTCCAGCGATCCCACGCACGGGAAAGACGCTCGTCTCGCGAATACCTCGACAATATTTGTGCATTAAGATACCACCGTCGCTGGCGGTCAGCGACCCCGTTCGTCGTCGGCAATTAACGATGCGTGTTGATTCAACGTGGCGCCCTAGCTACGTTGCTTTTATTTTCCGCGACCGCGCGGTAATTACAAAGTGTACCACTAAAGGGCGAAAGAGTAAATATGCCGCGGCGTAATTGCAATTTATTCTCGGCAAGACACACCATCTACAAGGAATGTTTTCGAAGTGTCCCTCTCTCATTTCTTTCGAAACTTTACATACGTATAGGACATCGTAAGATATTCGACAGATATTTCTTCTATTTCGGACCGTTTCCATATTTAGGGAGTTAAAATTCGTACGAAAAGATACCATATTTCCTATTTTTAACCGACTTTGAACAGGAGGAGATGTATATTCACCGTTCCATGTCCAATTCGACATGTATACATATTTTTCTTTTTTATTGTTAATCCTTTGCAGTCCAAATTTTCTGATTTCAGTGCAGTTTTTTTGGAGCCTTACTCGACATAGGAACGCAAAGGGTTAATACAATGAATTTTATAACACTGCCTCGAAGCCGCGACAGGTAATCGCGTTTCATTCATGAAGCCTCACGATTGCCGGAAATTTACGAATAAATTCTTTGTCGACTGCTTCGACGTCACCGAACGAGTCCCTAAGGTAGCGAATCCGTTCACAATCGTGAAGGATATTTATTCCTCAATTTTCTTCGATTTCGTTCACACCGTATTTTGTTACAAACGGAAATATTATTTGTCGTCGATACGAGTTAATCCAGTTATGGCCTCTGTACCGTTGGGATGGACTTCCGTTTACTCGCGTGGACAATCTATGTTATTTGTCGTTGAAATTCAGTCTCGCGACGTATAATATTCGCTGGCTGAGCAAGTTAACGGTAATTGGGATAAAGGAAAATATTTAATTCCTTTTTTAAAGAATACAGAGATTCGATCCATCTTCTAAGGCGAAGAAGACACAAATTTATGTGCATTTAGATTTCATTCATTTATGGGCGCGTAAACGTTGGTTGCAAGAGAAAAGAAAACTACAACAACGAGTGGGAGAATTTTATTATAACCCAAAGTAAATGGAGACTTATAAAACATATGTGAAAAAAAGTGAACATCATTTATATGGCTTTTTATTCATAATAAACTCTAGTTTAGTACGATTAATTTCTAAAAGTGAAATAGAGATAGAGAAATAGAACAGAATTCAAATACGAATCTTTCTGATCGAAAGAGCTAATAGGAACAAATAAAATAAAGTATTGCTAATATAAGGCGCATTAATTTATGGCGAAGGTTATTGTACGCACACATTTTGCATACAATTCCCATATCAATATTCGCCACAAAGTGCATACAATATGCATACAAATGACAGAATAAATTTTTATTTAGCAATTACGTTTGTCAAGTGGAACACCTTCTTCCTCGTTAGTATACGTGTACCACTTACACTCGACAATAATAATTGCACTTTTAAAGAGTCGTCACAATTACTATTCGAGTTACTCCGCAATCGCTCGGCGCGTATCGAGCGCAATACGTTTTCGCGTTGCCGTTCGCCGCGGAATTATGAAATGCGACACAACTGCTGCGAACAGAAGCGTTTTATTTTCATTCCCGGCGAGTAAGGACACGCATCTTTATCTGCCTTGAAATTGCATTCGAGCGAAGCGTCGAATCGCTGCAGGTCGCCGCGGCCGGAGTGATTTTTATTGGCGACCTCTCGAAACGTTCTTAATTCTTGTCTCGCTCGGAACACGATGGCCATAAATTGCGCGTAAAAGGAATTGGAACGGTGAGCGCGAGTCGTCATCAACACCCTCGGCAAGGTTAAATAACGGATAAGGAGAGCTCTTTGTCCGAGGCGAGGACAACGTGAGACGCATCGCGCATCAAGGGACACTTCTACTCTCGTACACGGAGAAAAAACCGTTTCTTTGGGCAGTTTTTAAACATATTTTAAATTAATAAAGTCTTATGCAGGCTTCTCCCCTTGAACATTGTTAATAGTCGTAATAATAAAATAGCAGACAAAGAACCAGTTCTTTCACGCATATGCGCCGCGACACACATTTTTATGGTTATTTATATTATTGTCACAAGTTCTCCGTTTCTGAAAGAAGTTGTCTGCAATTTTTAGTCGTGTTAGCTCATATTAACACACTACTGGGTGGATTCGTTTGCAAAAACAATAAAATGTTATGTTATTTGTTTTTATTACGAATCATTACAACTCGGGTGAGTTTCAAAGTAGGAAAAGTATAGTCCACGATGGAACACGTGATTGTGGTTACATACATCATATCCAAAGAGTGGACTGTAAGAGATAAACTGAGAAGTGAAATAGAGATGGTAGGAGAAAACATATGGAAAATAGAAACACATACATAAAAGAAAGTAGATAAGCGAGTATCTAAAGATCAAAAAGTTGATCTCTCCTATACATTAAGGTCATGTGTATATTTTCATGTAGGTGTATAATTATTATCAAAACAGTAAATAAGAAAAATTAGAAGATAAAATAAATTAAAATAAGAAAAACTAGAAGATACTCATCGGTTAGAAAGCTTGAAAAAGAAAAGTAGAGAGGTTACGCGATTACATAGTAGAGAAATGTTCAAAGATAATCCGAAAGGTTATCGCGTGTTCGTGCGTCTTGGATAATAACAGATAGAAAAATTAATGAATGAGAATTAACTTACATAATATAAACTTCATATTACAAAGTAAGTTGCTAGATTGCTCTCACATCCGAGCACACCTGTAAGAGTTCAATATATATTTATATATAACCTGAGAACCAAAGAAGGTTACATTATCTATTCATAATTTTAACTTGGCATCGAAATAAGGAAACCGAAGTGTTTATGACAAATTCATCAATTAAACGTCAAAATGAATACGACGGAGATTAGGACGTACAGAGGTATAATTTTACGCGCGGTGATAATACGAGATATCAAACATAAAACGGTTTATTTGAACGGGTGAAATCATGTCAGCCAGTGACTAATGTTTATTTTGCGGTGTTACGATCAATGATCTGTGACATTAATATTATTACATAAATCATTCCAGAAAAAGTTGTATATCATACTGACATACTAACAATAGCGTGCGTAAGATTTCAAATTAGAATCTTTCGCTCTTTCTTCGATAAAAAATGATGAAACCGCCGTTTTTGGTCCGAAAAGATCCAATTCCTCCCTTTAGGATCCCAAGTATCGTTATAAATGTCCACCGTTAGAAGCCATATGAAACGAAAATTCTGTATTTGGTTTCACTCTATCACCCATGCTCGTTCATGGAAACCGTTTCGCGTGTCACGGTTCGCATAGTCGTAGTAGCCTCGCCTCGGAGTAAATAGAGAGGAATAGAGAGTCACTTTTGAGATCGAAAGCAGGCTCGCGATCCACTCTGTCGGCCGCTCTCCATCGCGGTCGTTTTTCTCATTTTCTACGCCCCCTCCTCTCTCCTTTTCCGCGTGAATTACGGAAACGCATCATCCGGCAATTACGTTAACGCTGCGAGCGCCTTACGAGAATCAGGTCGTCGCTCGGTAGCTCGTAGCCGCTTTGCCGCGCCCGCTTTTACTAAACAACTGGCTCCAACGTTTCCAGAACCGAAGGTGGATCTCGCGCTAGATTCTCTTTCCGCCGCGCAGAATGTCTTCCAAGTTTCCCCAATTACTCCGACTTTTGTTGCCTCGCCTAAGAATACCGGGATCTCCGATACGGTCGGAGATAATCTTGACCTTAATCGCGCATCGACATCGCTGAAGCCGTACAACTGGCCGGGTTTATTGCGGAATTTATTATGTACCAGGACACGGGTTTAAGTGGTTCGTTAGAACGGAGAATCCTGTTTTAGGCTTACGCGGTACAATAGCGGGCCGCCAATAGCCGGCTTTAATAAAACCTAGAACATTTTTAAAACACCACGCGTATTACCGTTAAGTAATTAAATAATGTTGTAATTTTCAATTATGCGACAACTTTATTATATTATACGTTAGCGTCAACAGTTTTTAGGAGCTTTTTTTATGGCAAGTATATGTATATGTTTATCATCCCTTGGTCATTAAGAGTTTGAAACATTTTAGTTCAATATCTCTGGAACTATCAAGCTTCGACCAAAGTTCTACATTACATCATTGTGTATTTATCAAACTCAGTTGTACATGAATTGTTTTAAAAATCAGTATTATTTTGAAAACTTTTCATGTACAATATTCATTCCTTTTCAATCTGTGTATATATTTCCAATACATACTATAGCAAATATCATTTATTTCTTAAGCCTAGAGTTTCGGAAGCAAAGAATTCAATTTTGAATTGAATTAAAATAATTAATTGCAATGAAAGCTTTGTAATACATATCGTGCAGAAATGATCTGTTTTTAGGAGGGTAACTTCCAAAAAGTTAGGAAACCATTGCTGCATACAAACAATACGTCTTCTTAGTATTCTTATTATTTGTATCATTGCTACTGTTATTATGTACTAATTTGTAACCTTTTTCTGCGCAGTGTCTCCCACCTGAAGGAAGCGATCGAGCGAGAATGCGGCGTGCACTCTGCGCACCAGGTGCTCCTGATGAGCGGAGGCGAGAGCCTGGAACTGAACGCCCGTGTGTGCTCCTACTCGGCCGGAACCGACACGAATCCGATCTATTTGTTCAGCAAGGCAGCCATCGAGAGCCACCTACCACCCGCGCCGAGCATAGATTATGGTTCCGGTGAGTGACGAGCTTCTTCACCTGTGAATTTCCGTAACCAATCGCGGTCCGCTGGGTTTTCTCTCATTTCCTGCACGGTCGGTCTGAATTCGTTAAGACGATCCCTGATTAAATTCATCCGTTTTATTTCACCTTCCTGGCGAATAGTCGGGGTATACGACGATGGTTATCTAGCGTCCAAGTCGATTTTAGAATGTCCTACGCGGCTAGGAATATAACGAATTGGGTCGATGATTTGAGTTCTCGATGTACGTAGTCGGTGTTCGTGATGTCGAACACCGTTTTTATGAAACCAAGGGGAATATTTTGTTACTCTTTCAGTGAGGTCTTCTTAAGGCATTTTCTTTGTGTTTTTCTATTAGTCTGTAATTGTTTTTAAGTGTACAGTGTCGAAAGAGTTAAGCGTATATACAGACTTCTGTACGTTGCATCCGGATGTTGATTACAAAATTGTACGAGTTGTTTTATAAGAATAGTTAATGGATACAGGGAGGAGATTTGTTACCGAGAGAAATTTATCTAAATCACCATTGTTCTCGGAGTCTTTCAAACAAGTATACAGAAAAAATTACTTTAAGACATTTGTAAACTTGACAATTGTCTCCACTTGGTCGCGCAATCGCATTGGGTAACAAATTAATGGACGTTGAATGGGATAACGCCACTACTGGGAGACATTTACTTTAATTGCTATCATCCAGACTCTGCTAATAGATTTGTTAGAGTAATTACAGCGGAAAATTAACTGTGATATATCGGTAAACTGGAAATATTCCCACCTTGATCGTACCTTTGCGTAACAAATAAATGGACGACGGATGGGACAAGGTCGATAACGGGGGCCATTTGCCTTAATCACCGTCGTTTCGGTCCGCTAAATTCGCAACGACCATTCTCCTCGACGATGTTCGCTTCGTTCGAGCGAACTATTGCGCGCTTCACCGAAAGAATATCTCCGAACGGAGGCGTCGCTAACTATAGAGGATCATTCTTGGCGACAACGGGCAGCTTCGTTAACCGAGAATCGTACCGGAAGGACGCCAGTTAATAACGATCCCAATCGACTCGGTCGCGAGCACAGAGAGAAAAAAAGAGTCTGATGATAGCGATACCTGTGCGACATGGAGGCTACCCCGCAGGTGGCCTTTGTGCGAGCCAACCGCGTGGCTCACGGTACCGTAAACAGGCACAATGGTAAACCTCGACTCGTTTGGTTGTATTTCGTCACCATCTAACGGCCGTGTCGTGTCACTGGAGTCGCTTGCTCTCCCTTAAACAACAAGAACAACGCGAGTTCCTCGAGATTTTCAGGCTAGACTCTCAGCAAGGAGAGAGGATCGTGTCGGAAAGGGTGCCATTTTTGGTATTACATAGTCCGAAAGGAACAATGGATTCTGGTATTTCTAATAAGATTGTTACCTATGGCAGTGCCTCCTTAACCCCCTTTACTAAATTATTTGAAAGACCAAATGGCATTAAAGGCCACCATGTCAAGTTTCGCGATATACTGATAAACCACTCCTTGGACATATAAAGCAAGACAGTGATCCCTGTGTAAGAGTCGCGCTACCATTTCAACTCTCACGATCGTTTTCAGCAATTATATATCTGGGAGTCTATTATTACAACATTTATTATTCTCTTATATCCATTCCATACTTCCGACTGCGATATCTATGCAACGAATAATGAAAAATAAGCGCATCTTGTATTCGTTACGCGGAATTTAGATCTAGGTAAGAACTCCGCTCAACCCCGTCGCGGAATGGTGTCAGCGATGTTTTCCACAACTTGGAGCCGCACGTCCCGACGCGTTTGAACGCGTCTGAACGCGTTCGTGGGAGGCTCGACGGACTGCGAAGCTAAGCGATGCGCTAACCGTGCAATTTCCATACCGTTAAACCGTTAAACGCGCTTCGTACATTTGGTTCGTTATTACGCGTCTTGATCGCGTGTTACGGCGATTACGATGGTTGAGCTACGATTTCACTATGCGCGTAATACCGCTTGCCGTCAACCCAATTTTCGCACTACCGCGGCGATTCGACCGCAAATCTCATGCATTACGAGCCCGGGGACGTTTCCTCGGGAACAGGAATCGCCTGCGTTGCCATGTCGGGCTGCTTCGGCTGTAGACTACTCCAAAGCCTCCTTTGTGTTCCACGGTTCTCTTTGCTCGAACTCTTTGTTTTCTTAATCCTTCGAGGACTAGGTCGCCGCGGAATTAAATGCTCGCTCAAGGCTGCTGGAACAACTGCCGTTAATTTATTCCTTCGTGACTTCATTATTCGACCGACAAGTTTGTGCAAACGTTCGTGATACCGCTTCGGAAAGTCTGCTATCTTTGTCAGTGACAGGCGTCTGCAAACTGAAAAATGAAACATGTAGAAAAAATTGTTGCGACGTTGGAACTACCAACGAAACAGTTTCTTTTAATAGTGTTTCAAGATTTTGATTTTTTGGTACTGGTTAAGCAAGGTGGAAGATAATTGTGCTGCTTGTTTTCAGAAGATAAAATCTAAAGGCACGTGGAAATTCCACTTATGATTCATAGTCATGCGTAAAAAATATGTGCCTCACACTTGTTTAAATTTGCATGAAATTTTTTCTATCAGCATTCAGCGACCAAATATTTCATCCACGTCTTTGTGGATATAAGAAAGAAGAAATTAAAAATCCCAGAACCATTCCTTTGGAGCAGGAAATGGAAGAGTGTACTGTTTGTATTATCCTCCATCTGTTTTGCGCCTTGAACTCTCTTTGTGTTGAAGTTCGTTTACCTGAACTCTTTGTTGTTTTAATTCTTCGAGGGCTGGGTGGCAGAACAATTAAGTGGCCGCGTTAGGCGAACGATGGAATTATCTTCGCTATACCCCATCCTATTCTATCTCTCGTCTTTGGACGCATAGCTGCAGCCACATCTTACTGGAAAGTTGCAGAGAATAGCCATTATTAATTCTTACTATTAAATATGACTATTAATTATCGGAGACTATTTGTGCCACGGGATTTATGAATATTTATCTACTCGGTGAAGCTGCACGATGTACTCTACGGACTCATTTCGATCTGACGAACGCGTATTCTTATCTTACTTTCTTGTAAATGAATTGTACTCGTCAAGTTTGCGTTACATAAATGATTATTTCATGTTGCTATCTAGACTGCTAGGGTACGTGGCTGCAACGGTTCGTGTTTCTCAATTGCTATTTTTCGATCTATACGTTAAAAATATTTAATACTAAAACACTAACCAAATCTAACAAAAATGTTCGCATTCACGTGACGTCATTTGATCGAATCAGAAGGTTCATGTTTCGTTTTACAACCTTCTCATTTAATTAAACATACTCAACTTACTTTCGTCGTCCTCGCTTTATTTTTAATTTCTTCAAACGAGCAACACGCTGGTCGAGCATTCAAAACCGGATTAGGAACGAAAGAAACGAGAATCTACGAAACCGAGATAGTACGTGACACATTGACCACGCGAGTCTATCGATTTTTTCTCCATTTTCGTGTCTTTCCTACGCGCTCGGTTCATCCTCTTCGCTTCGAGTTTCGCATGCGGTAATTCACGTTCCTCGTCGCGTACCGGTAATGCGACCACACCGCAGACCACACGTACCCGTTGCGATGCACCCTGCATTGACCGTTTCCACCAGCTCCCGATAAAGTAACGATCGAGTTCCCTCTTATCTGCTCGCACTTTCGATTTTCGACGCGAAACCTGCCTACCATGCGCGTCGATGACCGATCCAGAATAAAGCGTTCTCAATCTTCGGTTGTCTAATTTCACCACTGGACGTTAGCGTTGTTCAAATAATTTATTTTTTTTTTAAAGGACTTCATAAATCGATTTAACATACAAATATTCTGTCTCGCTTTAATATGGTATATTTTTTAATTTTAGAAAATATAGGGATCGTAAATAACGGGAAGTTTGATGTAATGGCAAACGTAGACATGCGTCAATATCCCAAAAGAGGTTATTATTATTAACTTAACATATATTTGAGTTTAGAGTCGCAGCAACTTCTTGATCATAAGCGACTACGTTGGTTACCTAGGTAGGTTAGATTTTGTAGTATAGAGTGGCATCCTTGAGGAATTGGATTGTGTTCCATATGGATCCTTGGGTATGAATACCGTATTAGGTTTTATCCCGTATCTTCGTCTACGTTCGAGATTTCTGCATTCGTATAGGATGTGGTTAATCGCCAGTGGTAGGCTATCGCAGATGTTACAGCGATGTCATTCCGCTTTGTTCAGAATTTAACGTGAGGTATGAGGAAAGTGTGTTTGGTCCGCGTGACGGTTTGTTTGAATGAGTTTGACGAATGAGCTTAGAGTCAAAGCATGAAAAAGTAACGTTAGAGCCAGTCTGAAGCGGAATAGGCACAGCGTGTATATCGAGCACGGGTATTATTGGGAGTGTGATTTCATTGTTTCGTTTTTCGTATGTATACTTTTTCTTTTATCGAAGAAAAACTTCTAAGCCTGTATAAACCTAAAATCCCTACAATAGCCATTAGTTTTTGTGTGAATGGACATTATAGCTTTTCTCTGTCTGTTCATGGTGTAGCCATGCTTAGTGGACATTCAGTGTTCTGTTGTGTTGTGTTGCGTTGCGTACGTTACTTCTTTTCGTTGCATTTGAAATATTATTCCATTTTTTCTTTATTTTTATAACATCCTTTCTTGTAATATTCGTTAAATTTTCAAGCTCGGATCTACACACATGCTGTCACGTTGTTTTAGATCAGGTGACGAAACATTGATTGTTTTCATTTACATAACGTCGTTTCTTCGTCCAATTTTTGCAGACGTCTCGTGCGGCAATCGCTTTAAATTTCGCGTCCTTCGTTTGTTGACGAGCTTCCTGGCGTTTCTGATTAACAGATTGTTTGTTATTCCTGTATTCAAAGCAAATTCTGGATTTTTCCAATTCATTTTGTCGCTTCCGTTTAAATAACGGAACGTTCTCGATATTTTTCCGT